TGTCGTTGAAGCTTCTACCTTCCGATGACGATTCCGTCGTCCTCTCTCTCTTCTTCTCCGATGGCGATTGCGATTGCGATTGGGATGTCGTAGAGACTGTTGTCGTCGGAGCTTCTCCTCTTCGGATGTGGATTCCGTCGTCTCTCTCTCACCGTCTCTCCCTTCGGTTTCACAAGTTGTCTCTTATGTTTATCAAGATATTGAGATCTATGCTCTGTTAACAGATGGAGAAGGCAAAACAAGATGATGGGCTTGCAGATTTGAGTGATCTACTTCATAGATGAAATTTAAAGTTCTATGGATAGGTTTGAGAGGGAGAAGGAGAGGAAAGTAGCTGCACATAGAAGAGTTCTATTGAAGAAAGAGAGTGAAATTTCAAAATGGGGAAGAATGATTCGTGAATTGGAGATTCGATTATTAGAAGAAGCAAAGAGATTATGTGGCTATTTATGTGGAATTTTCAAATTTGCAGAGAAGGGTTTGGCTCCATCTCAAATTAGTGTCATTTTTCGTGATTCAACTTCAAGGGTTTTGTTTATGGTTTGAGTGATGTTGTTGATGGTTTGAGTGATGAAGTGATTAAACTTCAAGAACATTTTTATAAATTTTAAATAAATTATTTTTTTATTCTTTGAAACTTCATAAAAAATATCACCATTGGACACAAACATTAGCAAAAAGTAAATGAGTTTCAAACACTAAATTTATATTAAAATTAATACTAAACAATGTTTTAAGAACCTTTAAGAGTGTCATTGTTAAGGATGCTCTTAGCGCTAATCAAATAGAAAGTGTTATATTTTTATTCAAATGATCATGAAATCCAATGAGTGCATATTTATTTTTATTTTCCATAATATTTTAAATTTGGAAGATTGGAATTTTAAGAGCATCTCAAATAGGAGGTACTTTAGAGAGAGTTTCTAATACTATTTGAAAAATTCATAATATTACATCAATATTTCATATTATTTAAGAAATTCTACAAGTTTTTATATTTTATATTATTTACGAAATTCAATGGGAAGTGTTCTAAAAAGATTAATCGGGAGTAAATTCGAATATTCTAATTTAAAGAAAATACATATAAACAACATTAAGTTTCTATATATGGTTGTTGGAAACAAAGAACAATACGCGTCATGCATGTATCACGATGTTTTCTTATTCAAGGAAGAGAAGACACCATCATTAGCGTTAGGTTGATATGTCTAATTTTTTTTCCAATTTCATTTTCTTAATTAAAAATATATTTTTCTCAAATCACATTTAAATTTTTTACATCAATACTTTAAAGTTTTCAACTACGATTACTATATATAATATTCGGGTAATACTGTACTATTTGATCTCTCTGTTTAACATAGGAATAGAGGCAAAGCTGGACAACACTTTAAACATTTGTATTAAATTCCTAA